AAAAAAAAAAAGAAAGAAATAGGAAAGACCCACCATGGCTTCAATGCCTTTATGGTTTGACAGCTATTTACAGACAATCTCCAAATCTGTATCTCCAGCCCTGACCTCTCTCTCTCAATTACCGTTATTATCTCTCCAATGCCTAGAGAGTCCACAGACAACTCCAACAGCTAAACCGAAAGCTTTTTTTTATTATTAGTTTATTTTTACATATTTTTGTGCATTTTCCATCTCAGTTGCAATCCCCTTGTAAGACCAAACCTTTTATCATGTCCCATGTTCTTCCTCCTGGCTAGAACTCCCACTGTTACTAGTCACACAAGCTAGAAACCCCAAAGCCACCCTACACACACAATGAGACATAGTCTTAATTTTATTTCAGACATGTTCTCAGATCCACTCTCATCTTTCCATACCAGCTCTTGTTTTCTAGGTAATGCTGGCATGAGCTTTCCTTTAGACACTTTAGCCACCTCCAAACTGATTTTTTCCTACCCAGTCCTCCTGGGGCTGTTTGTTATCTATCCAAAAATTCAGATTTGGGGCACAGGGGGTTATGTCTCAGCACTGTGAAGCTATTGGCAGCCACTGCAGCATGAAGTTGATCCTCAGCCAGGGAGCTGACCCACATGGTGCAGCAGACCTCTCTTTCTCACCCCAACAGTGTATTTCAGACAAGACTCACTAGACAGAGTGGGGAGCAGAACATGCCGATCTCCTGAGGTACACTGCTAAGGGGAGCAGCAGGCAGGAGAGGTGTTCTGTGCCTTGTGTGGTTAGCACCCTGGTCGGGGATCAAACTCAGGCCACAGAGGTGATATAACTCAGGTGATAATATGAGGTGATCGAGTATATCTCTGAGACTTAACCCCTCTGCTACCAGGGAGGTCCCTACTAGCTAATGTTCTCTTATCCAGAACCAACTCAGTCAAGATTATTAAGACATTTGATTTCCCTCTCTCTACCAACACTGTATTCATCTGTTAAAGACCAGGTCATTTTAAAAAAACCTGATTTCTCCAGTCATAGTTTATTTCTTCCTCAGTGCTCTCATAGCACTTTTTAAAAATAAGATTTATTTATTTTTTTATGCATGCAAGAATTGGGGTGCAGGCCAGAGGTGGGGGGTGTGAGCTGATTCACCAGACACAGAATGGGGAGCAAAACAGGCAGACCAACTGAAATACACTGCTGAGGGGAGCAGTGAGCGAGACAGGAGAGGTCTGTTGTGCCATGCGAGTTACCTCGCTGGCCAGGAAATCAAACCCCAGCTGCAAAGTCTGCTGCACTACAAGGGAGGCCCTATTTTTATCTTTTTAAGGTAAATCCAGATTACTTTCCTTAATGGTTGTACCAGTTTACATTCCCACCAATAGTGTAACTGTGTCCCTCTCTCCACATGTTCTCTAGCTTGTGCTATTGGAGGCCTTTTTAATAGTGCCATCTCACATGTGTGTGACTGGTTTAACATGCATGGCTCTTATTGGAAGCACTGATGAATATTATTTCATGTCCATTGGTCTCCTAGATAACCTGTTTGGTGAATTGCGTGTTTATATCTGCTGCCCATTTTTAATTTCCATAGAATTTTGAACCTCATTTAATACTTAACTTTCTAAATTCTATTATTACCCTATAATTTCTACATTCTCTTATCATTTCTTTATCCTTAAACTTAAACTTAATTTGTTGCTAATGATAATGTTTGAACTTCTCTCTTTTTTTTTAAGATTTATTTATTTGTGCATACAGAACTGGGGTACAGGCCAGAGGTGCAGGGGCGGTAAGAGGATTCACCAGAGACAGAGTAGGGAGCAGAAAAGGCCAAGTACACTGCTGAGGGGAGCAGCGGGCAGATCAGGAGAGATCTGCCATGTGGGTCACCTCCAGGGCGGGGATCCAACTCATGCTGAAGTGGCTTTAGCTTCTTAGTGCTGTGCTTTAACCTGTTGCGCCACCAGGGAGAGCCATGTTCAAACTTCTAAGTGAAAAGTTAGTATTTTGGGAAACTTGTATCTGCCAGTTTGAGTTTGATAGCTTCTCAACATTTAAGAGACCCTGCAGTAGGAAGAGCTGCATAACTCAGTGAACAAATGTTTTCCAAATGACCATATGTATGATTTTACAAAATCATACCTATGTAAAAGATTCATTTATAGTACAAGATAAAGCAATGATTTTAATATAATAAAACATAATGTTCATTGATATGGTGTCCGACTCCATATCCAGCTGATCTTCATTTTTATGTTATTTAATTTATTTATTTGTACAGAACTGTGGTATAGGCCAGAGATGCAGAGGATGAGAGGATTCACCAGAGACAGAGCGAGGAGCAGAACAGGCAGATCAATGAGGTACACTGCTGAGGGGAGCAGCGGGTGGGTCAGGAGAGGTCTGCCGCGCCATGTGGGTCAGCTCCCGGGCAGGCGGGGATCGAACTCATGCGAAGTGGCTTTAGCTTCTTTGTGCTATGCTTTAACCCGCTGCGCCACCAGGGAGGGCCTAATCTTCATTTTTTATTTAAAAAAAAATTTATTTATCTTATACACGAACTGGGGTGTGGGCCAGAAGGGGTGGATAGGGGCCAGAGTGGGGAGTAGAACAGGCAGACGTACTGAAATACACTGCTGAGGGGAGCAGGGGGTCACTATTCCACATGTGAGTTAGCTCCTTGGTGAGGGAGCTGGGGATCCAACTCAGGCCTCAGCAGTGATGGTGCTGAGATTTAACCCCTAAGCCCCAGAGAGTCCCCTAATAGTTAACCTTTAAAAAATCACCACTAGTAAGTTTAGGTGTGGTATCAAAGAATAATATTCATAATTACCTCAAAAGGCTATTAAAATACTTTTTCTGGGCCCTTCCTGATGGCTCAACAGGTTAAAAGCACAGCACTATGGAGCTACTGGCAGCGGCGGTAGCACAAGTTCAATCCTTGGCCAGGGAGGTGACCACTCCTTTCTCACCCTCTGCTCCCTCCAGGAGTTTATTTCAGTCAATCAGACTGTTCTGTTCCCCAATCTGTCTCTGATGAATCCTCTCACCCCCAACCTCACACCTCTGGCTTGTACCAGAGGTATGTATAAATAAATAAATCTTTAAAAAACACCTTTTCCTTTTCCCATTAAGTATCTGTTAGGTTGGGTTTCCTTTGTTTGGCAATAGATGGGATACAGAAGCAGTTATGAGAACACAGCTATCCTCAATTAAGTCAGACATGAAAGATTTGTATATCAAATCATACTACTTGGTCAATTTTTTTTGGTGTAGATTTTTCTTTTTTTCATTAAAATGTTTTATAAGAGCCCTCTCTGGTGGCACAACAGTTTAGAGTGCAGCTCTGTGAGGCTGTCCTCAGCCCCTGCAGCATTTGATCCCTGGCCAGGGAGGTGACCCACAAGGCTTGGCAGACCTCTCCTGACCCGCCTGCTGCTCCCCTCAGCAGTGTACTTTGTCGATCTGCCTGTTCTGCTCCCCACTGTCTCTGGTGAATCCTCTCACCCCCTGCACCTCTGGCCTGTACCTCAGGACTTGTGTGCATAAATAAATAATTCTTTTAAAAAGTTATATAAACATATAGTGAATTTATTTTTTCTTTTTAGTGAATCAACACACATTTTAAACATTCCTCAGTGTATATTTCCTCTTTCCTAAATAGGGTAATTAATCACCCATGTAAACAAAATCTCTGTAGGGCTCTTAATAATTTCCAGCACTGTAAGGGGTCCTGAAGCAAACACACACAAAAAAATACATGATAACCTCTGCTCTGGGATATTTTCCTCTCATTGTTCTGGCCAACTCCAATGCAGAGAATTAGACATTACAGTTCTGTGCAAGACTCGCCTCTAAGAATCTTCCCTGATGAACCCTATTCTACTCGCTACCCCTATTCTGCACCCCCTGTGCCTTTATGTAGCCGTTTCTCCCGCTGCTTTCACACTTCTGGTTCTTGACAGTCCTGGGACAATGAAGCTGCACATCTTTTCCCGGCCATGGCAGCCAATTCCACGTGCGTTTTTCAGCTGGACCATCCAGCTCCCTGGGGAACAGTTTGACCTTTTCCCCGCATGGGTCCGTCACGGAGCACCGCGGGGTGACGCTACCACCTGGTGGGATTTAATGAAGCACAATGGTCATTGATCTGGCGTCAGACTCGACATCCAGCTAAACCTTGCTTTTCTTTTTTTTTTAATTTTTATTTTGTAGACGACCTGGGGTGTAGGTTAGACGGGCGGGGAGAGTCACGGGGAACACCTGCCGAGGTCGAGCGGTGGAAGAGAGGCGGATCTGGGGAGCATCCTCAGTACACCCCAGGTCACCGAGTGAAGTGAGCTGTTGCGCTCCGCCCTCTGTCGCCAAGCGGGGAGCTCGGCGCCGCCCTTCACGACGGTCGTCGCTGCGCTTTCCGGCGGGTGCTGACGTGTAGGGGGGCGGGGAGCCTCGGCCGGGCAGCTGCTGCAGTGGCGGACCTACCTGTGCAGGGCCATGGCCCAGCCAGCCCGGTCCGCGCGGGTGTCGCGGGGCTCAGGTAGATTCCTTGCCACGCGGGGAGCCTTTCGGGGCGAAAGGGCCTGGAGGAACGCCCTGCGGGACTCGGGGGAGGAGGTGTCGGGGACGGACTGCAGTCAGCAGCTTCAGGATGGTGGTGACATCGGGAACCCTTTGTGATTAGGGCCTTTTTTTTTTTAAGATGTAATTTTTTTTATGCATTCAAAAACTGGGGTACAGGCCAGAGGTGCTGGGGTGGGGTGAGAGGATTCACCAGCGTCAGAGTGGGGAGCAGAACAGGCAGATGATACTGAAATACACTGCTGAGGGGAGCAGCGCGCACGTCAGGAGAGGTCTGCTGCGCCACGTGGGTCTCCTCCCTGGCTGGGGATCGAATTTGTGGTGCTGCAGATAGCTTGATAGTGCTGTGGCTTTAACCCGTTGCTCCATTAGGGAGGGCTCACAGGAGGTCTGTTCTCTTGAGTACTTCTGGAGCAGTGGCTGATTCTGGAGAAGGGCTTTGCAGCGGGCAGATTCCGGTATTCACAAATCAGAGGGAGGATCCAGGTGGCAGAAATCTTGGGGATTCGGGACTTTTGATTTCTGCGGTTTGGGAGGGGAATGTATTTTCAAGCATCCCCACTCACCTTGGGCGCACACACACTTTCTCCATTTATTGGTTGCAGATAAAGTACGAAAAGACACGGCTGGACAGACCTCAGGACCCAGGCAAGGCAGTCAAATGGGGAAAGTTTTGGGATTTGAGTGGACAGATATTTCCAGCTGGGGGAAGCTAGTGACCTTGCTGAATCGACCCACAGATCCTGCAAGTCTGGCTGTCTTCCGATTTCTCTTTGGTAAGTTCAGTTTCTGGAAGTGCCATTGTGATTGTAGGTGGGAGAATAATAGTTTTAAGTCCTTTCCTTGGTGACTTACTGGACTTACCTCCCTTTCCCCCAGAGTTGAAGGTAGCGTGAAAGAGGCCTTTGTGTTTAGGATCAAACACAGCTTTGTCTCCTATTAGTATATGGACACCAGAAATGCTTTGATTTGGGGCTATAGAAAATACAAAGGCAAGGAACAGGGACCCATTTTGCTTGTGGCATGAAGTTGCCCAGTAACTATGATAAGGACTAGATTTCAGAGAAGCAGCCGGAGTGAAAGGGCACATATGTTGGCAGTAACCACTTAAGTGACCTCTTAATTCATAGGTCACAGCATAGGGTGACAAATGTGTTGATTCATAAAATCGCTAGTGATTCTCAAATGGGGACAGTTTTCTTCCCTGGGAGATATTTAGCAGTGTCTGGAGACATTTTTATTTGTCCCCACTGGGGAGAGGGTAAGTAAGCGGCCCCTGGCGTCTCTGTTGGAGTCAGGGATGCTGTTATACGACCTATAACACACAGGAAAGTTCTCCCAGCTAATAATTAGCCAGTCCAGCCCCTCTGAGGTTGAAAAACCTTGACTTAACTAGAGGTGGCTTCCGGACCCTGAGTAGACCCTTCTATTTACCCACTGTGTTGGCCAAATACTGCTGTTTTCTGGGTGTGCTAGGAAGTGAGAAAGGTAGGGAAGCATGACCCTAGAGCACTTTGCAGTCCAGTAGAACTGACCTTGGTAGATAATTATTACTCCCCTAATCGCTTTTGTAGTGCTTTGTACACTTTTCTCCTTTCTCTCTTCACCCTGTGAAGTATTATGAGCCCCTCTCATACATGGAGAATCGATTCAGTGAGGTACAGTAGGTGGCTGAGGTCACATACCTGGCATAACACCTTGCACAGCAGAGGTCAGTAGGTATTGATAAATGAATGAATGAATAAGTTACAGAGCCAGGGGTAGAAAAAAGTGTGCCTCCAGAGTTGGTTGCACTGGACTGTCTACTGAAAATTCTTTGCTGGGGCCTAACTGCTTTCTCAGGGTTGCTGATGGTGCTAGACATTCCCCAGGAGCGGGGGCTCAGCTCCCTGGACCGAAGATACCTGGATGGGCTGGAGGTGTGCCGCTTCCCCTTGCTGGATGCCCTCCAGCCTCTGCCACTTGACTGGATGTATCTTGTCTACACCATCATGTTTTTGGGTAAGGGAAACTACACAAGACTCCTGGTCTTACCTAAAATACCGAAATACAAAGCATGCTGGTCAATGGGCCACGTCTTATTCCTCATTTCATTTTCCACTGTGACTCATTTTATCCTGCCCACCCATGTACCCTCTGAGCTTTTTTTTTTCCCCCTGAAGATTTGTTTATTTATGCATACAGAAACTGGGGTAGACAGAGGTATGTGTGTGGGGAGAAGGATTCACAGGCAGGTAGATTGAAATACACTGCTGAGGGGAACAGCAGGCAGGTCAGGAGAGGTCTGCCGTGCCATGTGGGTCACTGCCCTGGCTGAGGATCAAACTTGCGCTGCAGTGGCTGCAGACAGCCTCCTAGTGCTATGCTTTAAACTGTTGTTCCACCAGGGAACATACTTTAAAATTTTTTTAATGATAGTTTATTTCTACATCATTTTATTGCCTTTTTCTATCTCAGTTGTAATCCCCATTGGCTTCCTATCACCAGATCACCTGTGTGCCATCACCATAGTCCAGTACACTTCCCCTCTCCCCCATTTTTGATCCCATTGCCCACTCCACCTCTGTGAAATGTCTCTAGTATACACTTGTTCATTATTATTATTTCCCCCCACCCTGGTACTTTATGCTTCTGCTATGAGTGAAACCATCTGGTATTTTTTCTTTCTTATTTCACTTAGCATGATCCTTCCAGCTCTGTCCATCTTACTGCAAAAGGCATGTGTTTATCTGTTTTGATTGCTGAGTAATATTCCATCGTATATATATATATACCACATCTTTTTAACCCAGTCATCTACTTTTGGGCATTTTGGTTGATTCCATGTCTTTCCTACTGTAAATAAAGCAGCAATAAACATGGGGGTACAGGTGTCTTTTTGAATCAGTGTTTTTGTATCTTTTGGATAGATTCCTAAGAGTGGGATTGCTGGGTCATACCTCCATAACTTTTTAAAATATTAAAATAGCATTTAATTTTTATTTAGTTTTACCTTACTATAAAGTGTATGGTGGTTTTTCTTTTTTCTTTTTTAAGAATTTTTTTTTAAGATTTATTTATTTATGTATACAGGACTGGGATAAAGGCCAGAGGTGCAGGGGCCGTGAGAGGATTCACCAGAAACAGAGTGGGGAGCAGAACAGGCAGATCGATGAAGGATACTGATGAGGGGAGCAGCGGGTGGGCCAGGAGAGGTCTGCTACACCGGGCAGGGGATCGAACTTACACTGAAGCGGCTGCCGCTCGCTTGCAGTGCTGCGTCCTCGCCCATTGTGCCACTAGGGAGGGCCCCATCGTGGCTTTTCTTAATCCTACCCATAGCCTGTGCCAGAGAAGCCAAGCCTGTGGTAACACACTGACCTCTCAATCTTCTCCCCACAAATCCCAGGGGCATTGGGCATGATGCTGGGCCTGTGCTACCGGATAAGCTGTGTGTTTTTCCTGCTGCCCTACTGGTATGTGTTTCTCCTGGACAAGACATCGTGGAACAACCACTCCTACCTATATGGTTTGTTGGCCTTTCAGCTGATGTTTGTGGATGCAAACCGCTACTGGTATGAGTCTTGGGGAAGAGAGGGGAGAGGGGTTGGCTGGGTCAGGATAATTATTAGAGATAGGGGCCCACTGACTTTCTAGAACTTGCCTCAGCAAGCATATTTTCAACCATGCTTTGCAAAGTGCAAGGTCATGCTTTGATTTAGATGGATTTGGAAGGGGGTGGTTCAGCAAGGTTGAGGTACTTGGGATGACAAAAAAGCAGAAATGCCTCCATTCCCACCCCTTTACTCTTTCCATATCTCCCCAGGTGCCTTGATCTATCCACTTCCTGTAATCCTCTTAGAAGAAGAGAAGACTAAAGCCAGATATAGCTGGTTTCAAATACTTCAAGGGAGCAGACTTTCCCTGTATGAACCCAAAGGGGCAGAGTTAGAACCAAGAATAGAAGTTGCTGTGAGTCAGTCATGTCAAAAGGAAAGGCCTACAAAAGCGAGGCCTGAACCCTCCCACATCTCCCTGTGGGAGGTAACCCACCCCCTTATCTGGCTTGTCAGGACCATCTTTTTTTTTTTTTTAAAGATTTATTTGTGCATACAGAACTGGGGTACAGGCCAGAGGCTTAGGGGGCGGTGAGAGGATTCACCAGAGACAGAGTGGGGAACAGAACAGGCAAATCGACGAAGTACACTGCTGAGGGGAGCAGCGGGCGGGTCAGGAGAGGTATGCCACGCTATGTGGTCACCTCCGGGGCAGGCTGGGATCAAACTCATGAGGAAGTGGCTTAAGCTTCTTAGTGCAGTGCTTTAACCCACCGCGCCACCAGGGAGGGCCCTGTCATGACCATCTTTAAGGGGAAGTGAAGAGAATTTGGAGACACAAATTGGCAGGGTAGATGTCCTTTAAGGATTCTTTCTGTTAAATGAAAGGCCATTATGAATGTTGTAAGTTGGGTATAGGGAAAACAAATACTGATTTCAAACACTGAATGTCGTGATTTATCAGTTATTAATCAAGTTTCATTTGTTAATACAAATAGCTCTTTGTAAGCCTTTAAGCTCATTCAGAATGGCCAGCTCTGATCATGCAGAACTGAGAGGCTGACAGAATATCCCTGAAAAGTTTCATTTTTATGACTTTTGACACAATTTGAGAAAATACCAGTCACTTACTAAAGGCTTTCCACATGCCAGGTACTCTACAAATGTTTCTAATTTTTCCTCATTATAGCCCCATAAGGTCTATTGTGTTGTTCCCATTTTAAGGATGAAGGAACTAAGGCTTAGATAAAGAAAGGACTTGTGTAAGGTCACACTGCAGGCACTAGGCACAAGTGAAAACCCAGGTCTCTTAACTGCAGGCTCCAGTGTTCTTGACCACAAATGTAAGCTGCCCCTTCCCAGCTTCTCTGCTCAGTCATTATCATTAAAACCCCGATTTGCTTCTGTCTTCCAGAGTACATCTAGTCATATTACCTGCATTCATCAGTTCTCTCCCAAAGTAAGCTGCAGCAGGTACACTCTAGCGCTAGATCCTGACACTCAGGCCATGACATATCACTTTGCCCTGGATACTGACTATGGAAAAAAGAAGCCATGATACATATTTACATACACTTTAGCTTTACAAACACTCCCTCAAACTCCTTCATTTTAGTCATTTTCTAGCATTGTAGCCTTTTCCCTGATTTGATCCATTAAGATAAACTAACCTGCCTAACAAATGAAAACATGGAAGTTTTTGTTATCACTCACTAGTAGTATTTCTGTGATGACTTAATCACTTAAAATCATCTGTTAGCATTGGTTTGTAGACTTCTAATGGGCCTCCAAATAACACAGGGCCAGAGAGGAGGTGGGCAATACCCTGGGATAGATTGACACAGTTGAAAGGAGAGGTAGACACTGACCAAGAGGCCTTCCTCAATTCTTACCCGCCTTTGTTTAGGTCTGTGGATGGCCTCCTGAGTGCCCGTAAGCGAAATGCCCATGTGCCCCTCTGGAACTACACTGTGCTGCGTGGCCAGGTATGGAGCTTTAGGATAGAGGAAGGTGCCTGACAGCCACCGTTGGCATGGCCTTCCCACTGCCAGAGTGCATCTTCCCATCTCGTTTCCTTTTCGCTGGAAAGCTCAGCTGACTTTTCTGTTGTTTCCCATTTTTTGAATGCTGGGTTCTCTCACCACGTCATGGGAAGAATAGAGCCTTACCCCTGTTTGATTAGAATCCTCATAATAAGTATAACATCTGTTCCATTACTTTTCCTGGGTGCCAAATACTGTGCCTGGCATTGGTAGATAGTCATAAATACTTGCTGTATATGTTATCTGAGATGAGGGAGCAGAAAAATGTGTCTTTCTTGAGAGCTTCTTTGGAGGTTCTAGCAGGGTAGCGCAGCTACTCGTATACCCTCGACCAAAGACCAGTCCATCACTATTCCGGGAATGCCGTCCTCTTCGACCTAGTGCGTGGCTTCCGGAGGGACGCACATGGAGGTGGTGAGGGAGGAAGGGGACACCGGCCTAGTCAGCCAGATCAGCGGAATCAACCCTGGTGATCAGTGGAGTGACAGATGTCACAGCCAGATCGCCCTCACATCTTAACGGGGCCCTGAACTGAGGTCAGAACTTAGGTTCTGTGTTTGTTCGCTTTTTTTTTAACTGTAGAAAACAAAGTTCCTTTTTTGTTTAAATATCATTTGCATCCTGTGTTTGCAGATCTTCATTGTATATTTCATTGCTGGTGTGAAAAAGCTGGATGCAGACTGGGTTGAAGGCTATTCCATGGATAACCTGTCCCGGCACTGGCTCTTCAGTCCCTTCAAGTGAGGCACGGGTACTGAGCGGGTGACTTGTCTCGCTCAGGACTCAATTATGGCTGTTGAACTTGCCACATGCTTTCCTCTGTCCACTCATCTCCCAGAAGGCAGCTGGGAGACTTATGGTATGGGCCAGAAAGAAGGGAGAAAACGAAAGGAAAGAGTCACCAAAACTAGGTGACTCGGTATCCCCAGCAACTGCGCTGGATGGTGCCTATGTCTCCGGGGTGCCACCCTATCTTCCTGCCAGGATTCCTCATGGGGAAGTTGGGGTAGTCAGTGTCCCTACTCTGAGAAAACCCTTTTTATAGCTTTTTTTTTTTTTTTTTTACAAAACAACATCTTACCTCTCTGATTTCTCTCTTCCTCCCAGTTCTTCTTTCCTCTTGTTTTACAGTGTTCTTTTTCCTCTTCCCTGTTATTTTCCAGTTCCTGAAGTTTGACTTCATTATTATGTTAGTCAAATATTCACCGTTTAAGATTTCTTCTCATTTATAACCTCCATGAGGGTCATGTCCCCTCACCCCCGCCCCAGCCATAGCACAGACACATCATCAAATTTTGCTTTTTGAGATCTACCCTTATGGCACAGTGTATAGAAAATATTGGATACCTAAAGTGTGTGGACACCTAAGGAGGTAGAAAAACCCCCATAAGCCACCTTTATCTGCGCCCTTCTACCCACCTGCTGGGACAGCCTTTGGCAAGGACAGGGCCGCAGAGGCATGTTGCTGGGGTCGAATATGCTGCGAATACAGGATTTTCCCAGTAACCTGTGTCCCCTGTGTCTGCAGACTGATACTGTCCGAGGAGATGACCAGTCTACTAGTGGTGCACTGGTGTGGGCTGGTGCTGGACCTCTCAGCCGGCTTCCTGCTCTTCTTTGATGCCTCCCGGCCCATCGGTCTCCTCTTTGTGTCCTACTTCCACTGCATGAATTCCCAGCTTTTCAGCATTGGTCAGTACCTGGAGTCTGGTAGAAAAGTAGAAACAGAAAACCACAGATTTACAGGGAGGAACTTGTCAAAGGCATGTTTGAGAGTGGGAGAAGGTGATTAGAACAGAAGCTAGATTGAACCCGATGTAGTCGCTGTGAAATGGAAATAAAAGGGAGGAGAGGTCTGGGCTCCTGGGCTCAGCGTGTTGCGCAGTAAGGACTGTGGAAGGAGTATTCTCAGGTTAAGAACTTACAACATTGTGAGTGGGACACCTGGGAGAAGTGTTCTGAGGGAAGTGGGGTGAGAGAATTACCCATGTTCCTTTCCTTAAATGTGTCTCTTGTCCCTGCTTTTCTAGGTATGTTCCCTTATGTCATGCTGGCCAGCAGCCCTCTCTTCTGCTCCCCCAAGTGGCCTCGGAAGCTGGTATCCCACAGTCCCAAAAGGCTGCAAGACCTGCTGCCCCTCCAGACTGCCCCTCAGCCCAGTTCTTCCTGCATTTATAAGAGGAGCCGGGCCAAAGAGGGCCAGAGGCCGGGGCTGCGCCACCAGCTAGCCACTGCCTTCACCCTGCTCTACCTCCTGGAGCAGCTCTTCCTGCCTTATTCCCATTTCCTCACCCAGGTATGTTTGAAAAGGGGTTAGCTTGGAAAGTGGCAGCAGTGCACAGCAAGAATGTTTTTGTAGCCCTTCCCTGGTCGAGGATGGAGTGTGAGAGCCATGGCGCTGACTCTCCCCGCCCTGCCTTCTCAGGGCTATAACAACTGGACAAATGGGCTGTACGGCTACTCCTGGGACATGATGGTGCACTCCCGCTCCCACCAGCACGTGAAGATCACCTACCGCGATGGCCGCACGGGCGAGCTGGGCTACCTTAACCCCGGGGTGAGACCGCTGATGCTGACAAGTTACTATTGTCAGCTTGAACTTCAGGGTCTGGGTTGATCCTAAACACAACTCTAAAATAAGACAAATCTGGGTCCGCTCCACCCCTTCTCAGAAGCCAGGTTAAATGACCTTTTGTGTGAATGGAAACAGGGCAATGCCGTCCATTTCCTTGGCTGAAGCTAGATTTGGGAAAGTTATGTAGCACACTCACCCGGCAATGAGACAGTCTCCAAAGTCAGGTTCAGATGTTTTTTTCTTTTCCTGGTCCAGATGGGCAGCAGGCAGGGGTCACTTTGTGCTGTTGGCAGTGCGTGGCCTGTCTGGGAGGTTGAGGTTGCTAATGATGAGGCGGGACTAATGTGGGGGTTTGGGACAGGTATTCACACAGAGCCGGCGATGGAAGGATCACGCAGACATGCTGAAGCAATATGCCACTTGCCTGAGCCGCCTGCTGCCCAAGTACAATGTCACTGAGCCCCAGATCTACTTTGATATTTGGGTCTCCATCAATGACCGCTTCCAGCAGAGGTGGGCAAGGGAGCAGAGAAGGGGGAAAGAGAAACCCAGCTCCTTTTGCCGAAATGAATAGCCTGCTCCCCAGTGTATCTTGCTTGAAAAGCTGTCTTCTAGTGCATGTCTCTGTCGACCTGGTTGTGGACATAGCTCATTATTTCCAGTAGGGGGCACCAGAAGAAAAGTAACGACTTGTTCTTTTAGAAACTGTTAACACAATTCTCCTCAGATGGCCACTAACCTCCATTCTTCCAGTGCACCAGAATCTCGTGCCCACCTTCCTCTCCCCTCAGACTGGCAATAACATGCTGAACTGGGCCGTTTCTTCTATCTGGGAATGGCGATGAAAAGAACCGGAAGCTCTGATGGGTGGGTGCCCGTGGCCTCCTTAAAACATGGTTTTCTTCCCTAAGGATTTTTGATCCTCGTGTGGACATCGTGCGGGCCGCCTGGTCCCCCTTCCAACGCACACCTTGGCTGCAGCCACTGCTGATGGACCTGTCTCCCTGGAGGGCCAAGTTACAGGAAATTAAGACCAGTCTGGACAACCACACCGAAGTGGTCTTCATTGCAGATTTCCCTGGTACGGAGGGAAACAAAGGCCAGCTCTGTGGTCTTTCACTCTGGCTCCCTTCGCCAAGAGCACTGCCTATGGTAGAGGGGGAGACAGCACTGTGGTGGGAAGGATGTTTTTGAAACCTGAGGCGTAGTCATGGGGACTATGTCAGGTCTCTTTTCTGGGGGTGGGGGGTAGGAGGGGTGACTTCGCTCGACACCATCTGCTGGGACTTCAAACTGTTGCCCCTGGCAGGGCTGCACCTGGAAAATTTTGTGAGTGAAGATCTGGGCAACACTAGCATCCAGCTGCTGCAGGGGGAGGTGACGGTGGAGCTGGTGGCAGAACAGAAGAATCAGACTCTTCGGGAGGGAGAAAAAATGCAGGTATTTTGTTGGGATTAACAATGTTTAGAAGAGTGGTGTTTATTTACTTTAGACTCAAAATGCCTTCCACTGCAGCAGTGCAAGGACTCCTGGGGCTGTTAATAGCCTCATCCAGGATTTTTGAGGCTATAATTCTGTTGGACCCCAAAACATGATAAGAAAACAATATGCCTGGAGGGGTAGTACAGGGTGCCCATAGGCTGGCTGGAGAAAGATTAGAGTGAAATATGTGCATTTCTTCTTGTCAGTTGCCTGCTGGTGAGTACCATAAGGTGTATACAGTGTCAGCTACTCCTTCCTGCTACATGTACATCTATGTCAACACTACAGAGCTTGCACTGGAGCAAGACCTGGCTTATCTGCAAGAACTAAAGGAAAAAGTCGAGAATGGAAGTGGTGAGTATATATATATGAGCATTTGGGCTGAGATAGTCCTGCTTACAAAAAGTTAATATTATGAATGCAGATCTTCTTTTCTTTTTTTTTTTAAAGATTTATTTGTGCATACAGAACTTGGGTACAGGCCAGAGGTGCAGGGGCAGTGAGAGGATTTACCAGAGACAGAGTGGGGAGCAGAACAGGCAGATCGACGAAGTACACTGCTGAGGGGAGCAGCAGGTGGGTCAGGAGAGGTCTGCTGCGCCATGTGGGTCACCTCTGGGGAGGCAGGATTCGAACTCATGTGGCAGTGGCTTTAGCTTCTTACTGCTGTGCTTTAACCCGCTGCACCACCAATGAGGACCCTATTTCTAGCTACTTTAAAAAAAAATTATTTATTTATGCATACAAGAACTGGGGTGTATGCCAAAGACCCTGAGGGGTCCAGGGGACTAGTGAGAGGATTCACCAGAAATAGCAGGGAGCAGGTCCTCCCTGGTGGTGCAGTGGGTTGGAGCACTGCATTGTGAAGCTAAGCCAAGCTGAGGCTGCTTCATTGTGAGTTCAATCCTTGCCCCAAAGGTGATCCACATGGCGCTGTAGATCTCTCCTGTATTGCCCGTTGTTCTCCTCAGCAGTGTACTTTGTCGATCTGTCTGTTCTGCTCCCCACTGTTTCTGGTGAATCCTTTTGCCACCCCTGCACCTCTGGTCTGTACCCCATTTCTGTATGTGTAAATAAAATCTTTGAAAAGAAATAGTAGGGAGCCACACAGGTGGATCTACTGAAATACACTGCTGAGGGGAGCAGCAGGTGAGACAGAAGAGGTCTGTTGAGCCATGTGGTCCCCCTGATGGGGGATCGAACTTGTGCTTCAGCGCTGTGGATAGCTTCATAGTGCTGCAACTTAATCTCGTGCTGCACCAGGGAGACCCCAGATCTGGCTATTAAAGAACTTACCACTTCTAGCTGGTAAATGGGGCATTCTCAGAGACCATACAATCTCTATCATTGAGTCCTTTTTTTGCTACCTTCTGGGTAGAAACAGGACCTCTACCTCCAGAACTGCAACCTCTGCTGGAAGGGGAAGTAAAAGGGGGTCCTGAGCTGACACCTCTAGTTCAGACCTTTCTTAAACGCCAGCGAAGACTCCAGGAGATTGAACGGCGTAGAAATACCCCTTTCTATGAGCGACTCTTTCGCTTCTTACTGAGAAAACTCTTTATCTTTCGCCGCAGGTAAGTTTACCCACAATATTTGTCATTGTCAGAAGAGTTTGCAAGCTGGGTTAACTTTTCGCTGGTGGGAGTAATAGTAGACTCTCACCCAGGAAAAGTCAGTCTAGCAATGTTATCTTTTGCCCTCTCCATTCTTCTCTTCCTGATTTAATGTAAGGACATGTCTGGTGGCCTACTGTTTTAATTTCCCTGTTTATCTCTAGCTTCCCTTTGAGTTATTCCTACCCCACTTTGGGACCCTTTACCAGATTGTATAAGGAGTGGGGTGTCTGTCCAGCTGGGATGAGGATTATTTTCATTGAGGGGAGTTTCTCCTTTATGCCTGGGTGAGTGGAGGTGGGACCATGTGCCCCTCAGGGCTGTGGCAGGAATTCCCCGTGCTGAAACAAGATTTTGGACTGAGGGCACTTTTTCTTCTTTTTCAGTTTCCTCATGACTTGTATCTCACTTCGAAATCTGGTCTTGGGCCGCCCTTCCCTGGAGCAGCTGGCCCAAGAGGTGTCTTATGCAAACTTGCGACCCTTTGAACCAGTTGGAGAGTCCAGTCCTTCCAATACAGATTCTTCAAATCCTGATCCTCCTGAGCCAAATTCAGAGCATGTTCACTCAGAATTCTGAGGGGCTCACAATGTATGTAGATGTAGTATCAATTACAGGACCATTACCTCTGTATAGAAACTGATTCGAAAAAAATACTTCAGATATTTTAAACATTGTTCTTCCCTGTCCATAACATTTTTAATTCAGAGATGATAGTTTAGGGGAGGTAGGTAGTAAAGCAAGGATAAAATTGATCAATCGTAGGTTGTAGGGGCTAGGAAAGGGTTAAAAGCAGTATGAAGGGCCTCCCTGGCCTCATAAAGGATTGTCTCAGCACTACAGAAGCCATCAGCAGCCACTGCAGCATGACTTCAGTCCCTGACCAGGGAGCCAGCCCACATGGCACAGCAGGCCTCTCCTGTCTCTCCTGCTGCTCCCCTCAGCAGTATTTCAGTAATTCGCCTGTTCTGTTCTCCCCATTCTTTGATGAGTCACTCGCTGTCCCCCAGCCTCCCCTTTCCTGCACCTCTCTGGCCTACACCCCAGCTCTTTGCATAAATAAATCTTTAAAAAATAAATAAAAGCTTTATGAAAATGTCCTTCTAGGATAAAAGGGTAAGCAACAGGATTAAATGACTGGCCCCTTGGAAAGAGATTTAAAGATTTAAATGTACCTTGATGAAAGAACAGCAAACTGTCCTCAAGTGCTTACTATTTGCTAGGTACTGTGTAAAGCACCGTGACATTAATACGCAGTCAGTAACCACTGCCTCATTTTACAGTTGGAGAAACAGATAGGGCATTATTATAATTTGTTCAGATATATACCTTGTAAGAGGTAAAGTTGCTGATTTGAACCTCAAGTCTGCTTAAGTCTCTGCATTCTCATTTTCAGAACCATTGGAAATAATTCTTAAATAATGTGGCTTAAAATCTGTCTTAATATACAATTAGGATAGTGATCAAGTTCCAAATGTGGAGTAATTTTTTTTCACTGCATTTCTAACCCTTTGTCCTATTAGCTATGTAGGCAGTAAGTTTTTGACTAGTTGAGTCTACTTAGAATAGCACAAAGTTAAACTAGTGAGTTTAGAGGATTGGTAGTATTTAGCTTTATTTTCGCCTATAGCTAGCAGGTGATATCAAGAAAAAAGTCAAACTTGATTGAGGGATTAGGGAATTCTTACACTTTGTAGGCTTGTGTGTGCTAGGCTTGGTGCTGGTTAGGAAGAATGCAAAGGAATTTTTTCATTTGCTTCTTCAAAGTCCCCCACTCTGGGAGCTCATGGTCCCATAGCAGAGATTGGCACTGAGATTTCAGGCTTCTCCCACATATCCCAACCCACTGTATCCTCATGGACAGTGGCCTTGGGGTTCTCCCCTAGGTTGCTCCCTTTTCACTTAAAATTACATCCACTCATGATTTCCAATGATGCTTAGATCTTTCCTGTATTCTGGATCTATCTGATTAGCTCCACTTGACGTTCCACTGGGCCATCACACTGTCCTAGAGAGAGCTTATATTCGTTTCCAGCTCAGACCTGCTTTATTAGCAAATGCAACTAGTTTCACTGACTTTTGCTCACATTTCATGGCCCATCAATATCATCTTTTACTTTTTCGATCTATTGATTTCTGCTACCTCTGTTCTTTCAGCCTTTATATTGGAACCTACTTAGGGAAAGCTCACAGTAGGGCTACTCTTTTAGTTGTACAAGTTGAGTGTGAAAAAAAGCCAACTTCCTTGATGTAAAGTAGGGCCAGGCAGTCCTTGCTCACAACAGGTATTGCATTGCCAGGGTTAGCAATGGCTGTTCCACAATGTCACCACTGGGGAGAAACCTTTCTCTTTCTGCATCTCTCAGTGCTACAATTTGTGGCACTCTGACCTTTGCTTAATTTAGCTATCTTGTTTCCCAGCACTGCTCCCTGCCTTAAGTATGCTCTTAATAAAGGATTACCTCCTGCCCTAAACTGTACCATCTGATTCACCTTGTTCAATTTTGTTGTATCCTATTAAACTTGTATCCTATTAAACTAAGACTGAACATCTAGGCTGTTCAGATTGAAATCAGGCGCTGCTGCCATTATCTGTTCTGAGAAAGGGCTATCAATATCCTCTTAGCACTTCTTACTCCCAAAATTTGACAGATGGTCTCCCTTTCTGTAAGGCATACTTGTCATCACTCTCATCTCTTTGACCCAGCTAGTTGCTGGTCAAGTTCCTTTACCTTACTTTGGTTTCATCTGTGTTCTCTACCTCTCCCCCTGCCCCCCCCCCCCCACACAACAGGGCAAAGGCCTTTACTCTTCCTACCAAATATGGTGTCTAAAATTATTACTTCTGCACCAACGATTACAACTACTCATCCTTATTCCCACCTCACCAACAGGATTAGACAGCAATGCAGTCACAATCTAAGCTTTTGAAAATCTTTATCATCTAAGTTAGATTCTCATTTCATAGTGTTTGCAAAATACATAACAAAGTGGAATCTGTCTCCCCATCCCAAGATTCCATACAAAACTTCTAAGCCTCTAGTCAAACAGGCATAAAAGCAAGCATTCCTTCAGACACTTAGGCCTAGGTAGAACACTGAACCAAACCTGACTTGACACATGGTAGTGTAAGTGGCTGCCTTTTTTACTTAAGGTCTTTGGCTCTAGAAAGGATGGTTCAGGACCCTTGTGGTAGATTATGTTTGCTCTAGTTACCTTTTATAAACCTGTAGCACCTTTACTGTTATTGTCTGATTGAAATAAATTTAAGTACACGTATTGTGCCACAAGATTTAAAATTGACCCACCAGTCTAAACACTTTTAATGTGTAATATACAGCTTCATAGAGGACTATGGAACATGTCAAATAAGCTATTTTTTCAAGTTATAGTTAAATTACTTTGAGACATTACCTTCCCCCCTCCATTACGATTTTATGTAATTTTGAAAGCATAACTTATAGCAAGAGGATGTTGTAAGACACCAATTTGGCCACCATATGGACCAAAAACAATATGCCGGAGAACTCAACATCAAACCTTAAACCTTAGTACCAGGGACAAGACCTACAAAACTATCAAATGCCTGTATTAAGTCTCTTACCCATGAGTAGGAATGCAATTATTAAGGCCTAAAGTTACACGCATACACAGTACAGTCTTTAGATCATACTCATTGCACTGAAACACTTTTAAAGAACAATGGACACAGTTAAGGTAGAACCTAGCATTTTATTTAGATCTTCATTAAACTGTTGGAATTGAGAACCAGACATACGTAATAAAACCTCCAAAAATAGATCCTGAAAGGCACTTTCTGCTTAGGGCAAGCAGTCATGGAATAAGCATGTAAACAAGCTGGCTTCTCTGTACCACACCAGCCAAGTCAGCTTTCTCCATGCCAGCCGCACCAGCTCTGCCCTCCCTTCTGTTAACACCAGCCACACCCCCTGTAGGTCTAACCCAAGGTTTTTCTGTAGGACACCTTGGCCTACCTGGGAATGCTGGAAAACATGTTGTTAAAGGAATCATGGTGTTGAGGAAAAAAAAATCTTTTAAAAGCTGCCATCTGAGGTGATAGCTTCTCTGTACTTACGCCATACCCCAGAATACAATAAATAAGCAATTAGAAAATGTTCAAGTATGAAGGGATTTCCTCCTCCCCGCCAAAAGCACTGCTCTCTGAAGGAAGCTGGTTTCTCTGTAGCTACACCAGCTGTTCAGAAAGCTCATTGGACCTGGTTTTGAAAATAAAACAAAGTTAAAACCCTGGGAGGAGTTACTGTGCAGTGTGGAGTACTTATTCTTTCTTATAAAGAAAAAAAAAAGTTAACTGGTACCAAAGTGTGCAACCTACAGACCCTCAGGTACTTCCCTGTGACTTCTCTGTATGACATCACAAGGGTGCCAAGTGCCTGTTTTTTTCTAGAGCTAGGAGTTGGTGGTTTGGCTAGTGCTGAAACCATGCATAGGATTGGTTTACTAAATAAAACCCTTATTACGTACGTCCTCCAAAAGACAGCTGAAAAGTGGAGAGATTTTGATTTGGTGCTGTTTAAGAGATGGCAATTAAGAGCATAAGCACCAGAGAGATGGTTTAATGGTAACTGCCTTTTTTTTTTTTAAATGTCAGGCTAGAGCTCCAACTGGAACTTGCGTTACATGCAAGACTGATTGGATTAGGAACACTCCCTGACAGAAGAGCTACATAATTAGAAGTGGATCAAGTTATAGGGAGGATATGGGAAAGCTTCACATTCATAATAGAGCTGAAGACATTACAAATTCATGCTGACAGGGCTATGGCATTGCCAGACAGAGGCTATAATGGAACTACAAGTACGTGCATAAGACATTTTCAGCATTTTGTGGGAAAGTCAATGCAACTAGGATTTTGGGGGGTTGGGTGATAGGGCACAAGGGTTCAATTTCAAAGCATTATTTACTACAGTGTTGTTGGTTTGTTTCTAGGCAGTTACATGGATCACCTATGCTCACTAAATTCATTATAATGGTGAACAAGACACCTAGGGACAGAATAGCAAGCCCAACTTACAGTCCCCCACACAAGCTAAAATTCATGTCATTGACTAGAGTGACTGCAACTGATCAGGAGCTGAAAAGAGGACAGGAAAATTTAGGAAGAAGGGCCCTTTCCCTCAGAGCTTGAAGGCTTCTCTGTAGCCTACGCCAACAAGTCTGGGGAAAAAAGGCTAACACTTTCAATATTTAAGTTTTTTGGGCACTTCCCATGGGAAGCTGTCCCTACCAAAGTGGCCATAGGCTGCAGTCCTCTGATAAATTGGCTTCTTCAGATCCAGATCCCTGGAATATACAAGTCCGTAACTTAATATGTAGCATTCAATTAAAACAAAGCAAAACAATCAGCAAGACTCATTTTCAAGAGTTCTGGCAAATGAGAAGTTCTCTGGGGTACGCTAGGAAAGAAGTTTATGGCAAAAGTATTTGTTACTTCCTGGTGTCCAAACTCCTTGCACAGTCCTTATTAGTAACTACAGTTCTTGTTTTTCCGTCCCTGGCTCGACAAATAATGAAAACTTGTCATTATTCTGAGAAATTTCAAATGTAAAAAGCTCATCTGAGATAATGAAATACTTACCAAAGTCCCATGCCCACACCCTGCC